GAGAGAGAGAGAGAGAGAGAGAGAGAGAGAGAGAGAGAGAGAGAGAGAGAGGTCATCAGTATTTCTGATGACCCCAGGATGCGCTGATATACCCAACAATGAAGACACGGAAGGTAAGTGGTCGGCGGTTGGGGCATATTGCTCACTCATGGTCACAAACGCCAGTTCTGTGGAAGTCAGCTCGGATGTCACAGGGCTTTTATACCTGGAATGGGAACATGAGCGTACAGGTGTGCAGGCGACGGTGAATGTCAGATGGACAATGAGAGGGAATGACAGGCGAGCAGCAAATAGAGTGGATTAAAGAGGAGCATTAGAATGAAAGGAAGAGGAGAAGTAGGGATGGAAGGCGCAGTGGAACGAGCGGTGAAAAGAGGGGTGGGAGGAAGGAGGGAGGGAGGAAGGGAGCAGGAAGAGATGGAGAGATGAAGTAACCGACACACACACAGAGGGAGAGAAAGTACAGACAAACGGACGGACAGATAACGACAAATGGATGGATGGATGGATAGATGGGAATCCTTTTTTTTATAGACAGAGGCACCAACCAGATTGCGGATGAGATGTTCCGTCCGCCGCTGATGTGAAGAAAGCCAAACACTGCGCCAGTCAGAAGAATTCCAGGCCAATCAGCCTGCACTGCTGGAAGAAGGAATCCGCGGAACAGGACCTCCTGTAGGTCACACCACATCAAACCACATGGGATCACATCCGAGCACGTAAGTCCATGTCAGATTTGAATTGATGAGTTGTGAAATGCTGCGGTCAGACAAGGACAGACTGGCCACTAAAAAGCCGCGAGCTAACTGCTCTCAGATCCAGATATCTTCGTTTTCGGGAAACCAAACCAGCATGTGAAAATCTTGAAAGAAAGTTTAATAAAGTTAACAAACAAAGAAAAGGGGAGAAACCGGACTGGTAATCCAAAAAATGGTCGGACAGCAATTTCACCTCCTCCAAATGCTGATCACCTGTCTAGACTCTTTGAGTCTTTGGTTGCCAATGATGAGATTTTTATCAGACAATATACTGTTAGTGACGGGAAACCAATAAAACCCAGCCCATGTGCCTGAATTATAAGCACGTGTAAATGAAATCAAACAAATCATATAGGTAGACAGGCAGACAGATGGACGGACGGATGGACAGATAGACTGACGGACCAATGGACCAACCAACCGACCGGCTGGCCAACCGGGTAATAGATAGACAGGCAGGGAGGGAGGGAGGGAGGGAGGGAGGGAGGGAGGGAGGGAGGGAGGGAGAAAGGGACGGAGGGACGGACGGACGGACAAACGAGGCAGCAGACATTCCAATCGAGCTGAGTTAAGTTGCATATACAAAAATATCAAGGTTCAGTGAAACTACTACCCCAGGGTGGAAAATTACATACCTCACCAAATCCCGGAAGAAAGGAGACAACAACCAGGTCCCAGGACGCCAGCGGACTCAGCACCTGCTCAAAGAAATCAATGATCATCCATTAGCAGAATGTTTCTGATTCACATAATTGAGGTATTGCAATGAGGCCGAACTATGGACAAACAAGTCACAACACATCGAGACGAGAGCACACTCCACAGACTCCAGCACACGAGATGAAAGCCCAAACACAAGACACAAGAACTTGAAAGTTGAAACAATTGTTAAGAAACCAAAGACATACATACAGCAGTTCATATGTACACAGTTGAGCGGCTACCGCCTCAAGTCAACGACCAGGTCAAACGTCAATGACTTATATACAGACAGACAGACTACCACTGATCTGTCAAACTTCAACCTGGTCTCTGAACATGTCATTCATGCGGAAGCGCTCCGCAGCGGAACCGGAAAAGTTGCAGGACCATTAGTCGACCCACAAACTTGCACAAAGGGCATTATTTTTTTTTTAAGGACCATTTGGTCCATTTATGGGTATCATCCTTATTTGTGTAGGGGGGCATGCTAAATCTTCTCCGTATCGTTCTGATTGTAACGGGTATCCTGAAGGGCAGAAGCCCAAAGGGCACTCTAGTCTCTTGAAAGAAGACATTTTTTTTTATATGACCTTCGCAGAAATTGAGAACACCGATGAGTCTACAATCGACTTCCACAATCCAAAACACAGGTGCAATACCGTCAAAAAATCTCTGCGATCAAGTTCTGGAATCTGGAGTATGATCTTGCAGAAAAGATTAGTTCAAACTTCAAAAGATTGTTCTCGCAGCCGCTCGCATATCAAGCGTCAAGCCTACTCTCCCAGATGAAGCCCAAGTCCAACCAGTACCCCAGGGACCTTTGTGATGCAGCACCAACCTTGGAGATGAAGATGCACATCGCTGTATAGCCAGAGGTGGGTCTTCCTCTCGGTTCGCACCTCCTTCCTCGATCCTCAACCTCTAGTACACCATAGCCCACCTAGAGGTCCTTCTACCTTAAATCTCCATAGCCTACCGGACTACTCCTACCTCTCCCTATTACACCTCCCTAGCCATGGATGTCTTCTCCTTCACCGTCCAGCTCCACCAACCTCCAGGACCTCCGCCAGTTCTCCTCTTGGCGGAACAGCAGCATGACTGTCGGGTGAATTAGAAGACTGCTCATTGCACCAAATGATGTACCTTGGCTGCCCGGCCTATTGGCTGGGCAGTGGGCACTACATCCCTCTACCCTTCCTCCCTTTTCATGCACTATACCTACCAGATGTTCCTGCTGCTGGCGAAAAACATCATTGCTAATTTGCAATGCAGACTGATTACCTACAAACCCTGAACCTAGACTTCTATCAGCCTACATTCAGGCCCTGGACCATCATTACCTTCTGGAAAGCTAACAGACCCTCACAGGCCCAACCGACTCGCTGGAAAATCACTTCCAGGCCTCTACAGTACTCCCAATATGCCCCTACTGCTAACTTTCTGTCCTGCCCCTGGTTGTACGTTATTACTACTTTGCCCCTGTCTGAGACATAGCCACACAAAATGGCCAAGAGAGTCGAAGGGAGTGAGCAGCCGGACCCAAACTTGGGACTCAGGCAGCACATGAAAGACACGTCAGTGAAAGACCACAAACATGCTCAGCAAAGCGAATCACAGCAGAACATACTCTAAGGTATAAGCACCAGGATTTTCCTAAATGTATTTGTCCACAGCTAAGGCCAGATTCCGTTAAACCACGAGTACTTGGCCCAGCTATCGGCCACGGAAAAAAATAGAGTAGAAACGTTTCTAGTTGGATGAATTTGGGCGCTCCTGTAGTGGCCCGTCCGTTTCCTACAGACTGGGAGCTCTCATCTATATCAGATAAAAAAGAAGACCGCAGTTTGTCAGAAATTGCAGAAATCTCAGACAGCGATTTGTGTGGGTCATTGCCAAAGAAAAAGAAAGGGCACTGCACCTGTGCATGCGCACAAGGCCCAGGGACCGCAGTGCGTTGTGCACGGTGCACACCCATCGCCCATCTGCACACACACCACACAGGTGAGCCGCAAGTATCGTAAATGCATGTAACTGTCTGAAAACAGAGCATGAGTTCGAGTCCTCATGGAACACGATAAAGTTACGGAATAACCCCTCTTTCTAACGGAAAAAAAAAAAAAAAAAAAAAAAAAAAAAACCCATTAAACCACCAGCTCACCGGCCTAGCCAGGGAAAGGACCCTTATACCAATATTATTTTTTTTAAAAAAAAAAAAAAAAAAAAAAACACTCATTAAACCACCAGGTCACAGGCTGAGCCAGGGGATGTGCAAAGGGAACTGCAGATCTTAACGGACGGGATCGAAACAATACCGGTGTGTGAAGGGGGGAGGAAGGGTGAGAAGCAATACCTACCGTTCCGAATAGCCTCCAGATGTCGGGCTCTCTGACGTGGGATCCAAGGGAGTGGAAGTGGGCGGCACAGAAGATGCTAAGGAGAGCAGTGCTGATCCAGGAGCTCACCACAAAAAAATATCTACAACTCCTTGCTGGAGCCGATAGACATCTGTGAAGAACTGAGGAATCGGTGGGCCAAGAGAGACTGGATATCGGACGTTTATGTCAGCAGGTGGACTCAGCGGAGATGGAACCAAACAATGTGCTATCCTAGCCGCATTCCGGACCAGATGCAGGAGGGGTTGCTGTGGCAAATTTATCACTTGCTGATACCCACGGCGCAACAGATAGCAACTAAAAGTAGGGCCAGAGTTGCGCCGCGGGGTGTGGACAAGCGGAAACTATGCCCCACCTGTTTGTGCGATGCCCAACTGTCCGGGACTTTTTTGGGAATGGTGGGCACAGGAGTTTGCTGACAAGTCCCCAACCGCTAGAGGTCACGGAAGCAGACGATGCAGCTATTCTCTTAGGGATGCTCACAAAAATGGACAGGGCAAACCCGACAACTATGATGGCGGCAGAGACTCTGCGAGCGGCTGTGCTGTGGGCGTTATGGACCCTGCAGAACGAGAGATGTCGACAGGGAACAGCTCCCCCACTGCAGGCATATAAGGAAAGGGCTTTGGAATGCATCAGAACTGCCCTTCAGGCGGACTTGCATAGATGCAACCATTTAGGATCGCAGAAGGTGGAAGGCTTCTGGGCGAGATGGGGCCCATACCCGCAACTGATTATTCAAGATCCGTGTACAGGCCATATGCAGTTCAGTCCCGCCCTGTTGCAGCAAGTGCCCCGGTTCGAGGAGGAGGACGAGCCCGGGAAAGGACAGGAAAGGCAGTTAACTAATTTGTTCAGTAGTTTGATGAGTGGGAGGTGTGATGAAACCCGGTGGACACCAGAATTAGTATAGAGGATAGGGTGACATTAGGAGGGAGGGGGAGGCAGGGAAAGGTGTAGGGGGGACTACGGGGCTACCTAGGGGGAGAGGGTAGTAAATGGAATTGAAGAAGTACGGGGGACTGGGGTGGTGAGGGGGTCAAGGGGTGGACGGGAGATACTAAAAGAAACCGTAAAAAGACAGAAAACATGAAACATTACTAAGACAAGTGGGTGGACTGTGGCCAATTATGGCCTGTATAGATGTCAGGGAGGGATAAGCGGAACACGATCTGGATGTATATGTGCGATGGTAGGAGGGCCTATTATATTATGGTTTGTATAGACGTATGAGGTACGCAGAACACATTCTGAATGAGAACGGCTAGGTAGAGGTGGCAATGTAACTACAGGGGAATAAGCTGGAACCAGATATGAGCTTCAGAGTCTTTCAGACATAGGTAATGTAGGGTCTATGTGCGACGAGTGGTATTAGAAACAGGTAACGGGATGTTAGGCGGCCTGAGGAACTGTTAGGAGCNGACGAGTGGTATTAGAAACAGGTAACGGGATGTTAGGCGGCCTGAGGAACTGTTAGGAGCCCCCCCCCCCCCCCCCGCGTGGAAGCCGCCTATCTGAGGGCTGCCCTACTGCGTGACTGGGCGCTGCCAGTAAGCTTCCCGGCAGTAGGGTAACAACCCCCCTCAAAGGCTAAGCATAGGGGGGAGGGTTGCTCCAAAACAGTCCCCCCCCTTGCCAGGCGTCTAGGGCCACAAGAGACAGGCTACCTTCTTCCCCCGAATAGAACGCCCGGTCATTATAGCTGTATCTAGACTGAAAGATGCGTCAAATATAGCTATAATGACCGTACGTTGTATTCGGAGGAAGAAGGTAGTCCTCTGTCTTGCTTGTTCTCCCCCCCCCTTCCTCTTTTCAGATGTGAAAACATGCTTGCCGGTGATGAGCAACCGGACTGAGCCCCCCAGAATAGAAGGGTCAAATATATTAAAAAAAATAAATAAATAAATAAATAAAAAAAACACCACCAGCTCACACATAGCTAAGTCGACGAAGCTACCTTCCATGCAACTGCTCCTTTTCAAAGTGGCCTGTGGCTTTCGCTACGGGCCCGGGCCCAAATGGAAAAAATTATCTTTCCACATAAACCGGTAAGAGCAGTACTTTTTTTTTTTTTTTTTTTTTTCCTGCTTCGGGTGAACTGGCGGTTTAAGGTCCACCACAGTCTGAGAAAGGCATCCAGTTAAGTTCAACGCATTTGTAATTTGTTATGGATCCCATGATTTCCCATCACCGTATATTGGCATATAGAAATTGTGTGCAGAGCTGTACAGAAGAAGCAATAGTGTAAACATACCAAACGACAGATAGAGAACAATGGATGATGATGACGAGGAAGATGAAAAAGAACAAAGATTCAGTGAAAGGGTGTGTGTTACATACTTCAATGAGTATGGGCAGAACCAAAGATCAACCAATATAGGATGAGCATTTATGCAGCGGAAGTCTGATAACGAACTGACTCACATAGACTGACTCGCACCAACTGACTTACATGGCATCACTCCACACACATACAATCATGAGATGGTGGGGTCTGGGTCATTCATAGACGATACCCAGATCCCGTACACACATACACAGATGAAAGGTGGGAGGAGAGACGAAGGAGGTGGGAGGTAGATCACACCGATAGGTCACAACGATAGAGTCTGATAGGTCTCCGAAATGGTAGTACAGAATGTCATATAACAAGATCAAAATGTCGAGGACCAAAGGTCACCAATGTCGGAGATAACAGAGTCCAGATGTAACCGGTGTCCAACTGTGATGCAGCCGAGTATCAACCTCAACAATCTCCAAGTCTCCAATCAGGTAAGTACCACAGTCTCGTATCACCGAAGTCCAACTCTGATCTCTGTCCAACTGGATAGTCTCCAATCCGAAGAAGAAGAGGAAGAAGAAGAAGAAGAAGAAGAAGAAGAAGAAGAAGGAGGAGGAAGAGAAGAGAGAGAGAGAGGGGACTGGCGAGGGAGAGGAGGAGAGACCCTCCAAGCTCCCGATACCTCAGGCGGTAAGAACCGCCGTGCAAGCTCAGTCG